CCCCGAAGTCACTCCCCCCTCCCCACTGGCTACTCCCTCCCTCCCCTCCCCTCCCGTTTAGATCCCTGCATGAAAGTCGTCGATACTGAACGTGGTCGTGGTCGGAGGATGGGATATGTCATGGAAAGTCTGGGCATCTTAACGTAACAGTAATGATGGTGGCAGAGGGTTCCCTTTTGGGGTGGAGAGCAGGGGATGGACGGAGGGGATGGGTGGCGATGGTAAACCTGGAGGCTGGGGCCAAAGCTGGGGTGGAAGCCAGTGGTTCTACAGGACACCCACACACTCACCTCCTGCAGGAGAAGGAAAGGGGGGATTTAAACTTTTTTTCCTTTTGTTTAAAAAAAAAAAGACAAAGAAGTATGAATAGCAGAGCATACCGACTGAACCAATTTATAGCTAAATCACATCTGACCGAAATGCCTGCTTTCTGTTGTCACCTGCAGGTATAAACTCCAGACTGAGAGAAGAGAGCTCGAATGCACCTGTGCTACGGAGAGAGGGGACCTCACGCCCACGAATCCAGAGAGCGGTGGGGCTGCAGATGGGGGTCGCGGGCAGCCGAAGGAGCCACTGCCTCAGGTCTCTCTCTCCCTCCCTCCCCCACATCCCACCGTTCCCACCCTAATGAGGGCCATGGCCTGTCAACCAGGTTAATTTTGTCTCACCTTTATTTCTCCTTAGTAGCTTAAATTGCAGTTTCTTTTCCAAAATGGAAAAAAAAATTTTTTTTGAATTGTAAAAGTAAGTTCTCATTGATTTTTAAATATCAAGGTGAGTCTAGGGCCGGCCACTCTGGGGATACAGGCAGGCTGAGCACCACACACTTCCACATCTTCAGCTCTGAGGGGCTGCTCTTCGCAGCAATCACTGCTCCCTCCTGCCCACACCTGGCATCCCCCTCTGCCCTGGGACCAGCCGCCTTCAACTGCAGAGGGAAAGAACATCCATGCAGAGTCACTCTTGGCCTTGGCCTTGCCCGGGGTCCTGTGGTTTGAGGCCCTCACTCCTGGTGGGGCTGGAAGAGCCACAAGTGGATGGATTTTCACCCACTTGTCACAGGGATGGGAAGAGATTGATGACGCACTCAAGCCAGGCTGGTAGGAGACTGAGACGGGGACACCAAGATACAAGAGACCAAACCAAGCCGGGCCTGGCTCCTGACTCAGCAGAGAAAATGGAACCATCGCTGCCTCCAGATGCCCTTAGGGCCAAAGCTGGAAGGTGAGCCCCTTTGGAGATGCAGCTAAGAAATGAATAAACCAGCCCATGGAAAGAGCAGGTTAAAGAGAAAAAGAAAAAAAACTACAGAGGTTTAGAGCTACTGAATGGCTTATTTGGGAATGCTCTGGCAGACAAAGAGGACGGGGGTTTTTGAATATAGAAGATTAAACTGGCCGATAACATTTGGCCCCTCTTACTCATGGAGGCAAATACCAAGCTGAGATATTCAAAAGGCGGTATTACCTTGGTCTAACACACTTTGTTCTTCTGGGCTCAGACAGTGGACTCCTGGTTTTCCCAGGCAGCTGACACCTCTCCCTACACAAATGCACTAAGTAGCGGGTTCTGTTTTAGGGTGATAGGGTGGGGTGGGGATGAGAAGGCACAGTGGAAGATGGAGAGAGAGATTTTTGGGGCTTCTTTCTCGTCTGGCTGGATGTGGACCCAGGAAGATGTTGGGCAGGCACCCCTGTCTAGGGGTTGGGGAGAAGGCAGGTTTAGGTCTTGGCTCCTTCTGGCAGGGAGAGCCACCTAGAGGCTAATCTAGCCAGCAAAAGCACCCTTGGGGACAGGATGTAGCATGTCCGTGGAAAGATGCTGTCCAGAAATGCTCCCCTCCATAAGCTTAAGACAAGAGGGCTGTTGGTATTACATCCATCTGTGGCAACCTCTCCCACTCCTGTGTGCAGGGAGGCCTGTAGCTCAAGAGTTGGCCCGAAGGGAATTTCACAATAAGCAGCTCATCTTAGGCCTGTATCACCCCTCCCTGCTCAGTCATCTTCCATCAAATGACTCTAAAATCACCGTGGAGAAGACACGGTATTAGAATGCAGCTTTAAAACCCCACGTCCCATTTTATTATGCACTCGCTCATCATGACGCCTGAGCCCCAGCTCAAAGTCACCTTGCAAATATCCCCCAGCCAGGGGCAAAAGACCAGGCTGCTGGGTCCCCACTAGAGGGTGAAGCTGGCAGGCAGTAAGCACCCAGCTCTGGGCCGGTCCCCCTTCTCTAGGTTTCAGGCAGTGGAACCTGCATCCTCCAGGGCTGGGGGCGTGAGAAGAGAGGTGCCTCTGTGCTCCACAGGGAACTCTTCCCGTCTCTCTCCATCAGCAGCAGACCCAGGCTCCAGAAGGCATGTTAAAGTCCCCGAACAAGCCATCTGCAAACCCATGCATCTGTGGGGACACTCATAAAAAGCAATGCTCTGGCTGCTTAGGAAAGAACAGGAACTGCCACCTGGGACATAAACTTGTCAGAAGTCGTTCCTGCTGTCTGACAGTGGGAAGGCATTAGGGACAAAGTAATTTTCTTCTTTTGCAAAGTCAGCGTAACTCCACATACTGAACGCTGGCTGGCTACATATACGCAGTGAAGGGGGTCATTTGAGAACTCCCTCTCCCTCTAAGCTGTGACCGCGAGGGCGGAGGCGGGGTGGGGGCGGTTGTTGCGGGGACAGCATGAAGCCAAGTCCCGGAACCGAGGGTGCTTTCTGTAGAAGTCACTCTCAATTCTCGATTATCTGTCTCAAATGGAGGGTGCCTGTCCCCAGGCACTGGGACTCATTTTGAGGGGCCAGAAATGGTCCCACGTAACCAGGATCAGCTCAGGAAGAAGAGATGGGACTTTGCTCTTAACAGGCAAGGGCACCTTGTCTGCTGCTCAGCAAGGGGAGGGGGTGGCGGGAAGAAGTAAATATTGTTGAATAAATAAACAGAGCTGAGATTTATAAATTGGATATTATGACTCCTGTCCCAGAAGAGGACAATGTCTTGCAACCACCTTGGCGTTTTTGCAGCAGGAGCTATGAGCGTTCGGTGGCTTGGGACAAGCCCTGCTCCAGGCCGGCAGTTTGGGGGCTTGCTGTGTGAGCAGGTTCACCTCTTCAGCAGCAGCTCCGGGCAGTGTCCACAGCAGAGACTTAAT